ACAGTCACTAGTAAGCAGCATATTCTCCTTCCTACACAGCTGAAGTACACATAAAAATACCAGATGAAGTGAACAATTTTTGTAACAGGATCAGTTCATTCTGTGATCACTGTGCCGCTCACTAGCAGAGTCCAGGAAAGTGTCTTACACTGCAGGACCTTGTGGAAAAGGGCGAACAGGAAGGACTGTAGAGGGTCTGTACAGGATCAAGTCAAGGGTCCGATGGATTCTCATCCTGTGCATCTTTTCATGGTCCTATCCTATCCTCACTGATTCCTCAGAGCATCATGGGGAAAAGCAGTCTACCTTCCAAAACAGCTGTTTTTTCCTCCTCTCATGTGTTTTTATATATGGCCCTAAATATACACCAGGAGTTGGGGAGAGTATGTTAAGGGACTCTTTATTTTAATTTATCTAAAAAGATTTGGGGGCAAGTTTCCAAATCAGGTAGCTATAGGTTGGTACTCTAATCAGTATTTAGGCTCCTCCGGGTTAAAGGCCTAACAACAGATTTGGGGTAAAATTTTCAAAAGATACTACATGATTTGCAACAAAGAGCTGGGAATTAGAAGCCTAAATTTTGGTTCTCATGCCGTTTACGCATTTCTGAAAAGGTTTCCTTTGGGCCTATTTTTAGACCTTCAAGTTTGGGCCAAGAATATATGCTAAGAAACTTAAAAAATAAAAGCGGACTTACACTTAAATGTATTTTACTTGAAAAACAAAGTAGCTAAACTGAAGTTCCATAAAGCAGGAGTGGACAAGATATGGCCCGCGGGCTGAATGCAGCCACCAAACCTTTTGATACAGCCCGTGGCCCACGTTGCCAAGACTCCGACGCAGGCTCTCTGCCTGCTGCAACCCGAGGCTGCTCAAAATGGCTGACGGCTCCCTCTAGGCGCCATGAGCCCCTGGAAGGGGAGAGAGGGGAGACTTTGTGCACTGGCCCTACCCCCAGCCCAATCACCCTCTCCATAGAAAATGAAGCCCTTGACCACTTTTACCACTATCTTGGAGTGCCCCCTCCCCCATCAAAAATTATTGCCCATCCCTGCCATAAAGACACATTCACAATGGATGCAGTGTGATTATTTTGGGGGCACAAATTAAAAACTAGTATCCTAAGTTGGACTGTTAAATCCTTTAACTCCTGAAAGAAGTATGGGGAAAAAAGGGAAACTAAATAAAATATTAGCATTGGACCTTTTCCCCATTTTGTTTATGCAAATAGCAGTTTGCACCTTTTTACAAAAATTAAGGGTATATTTTTAAAGATTCTGAAAGTAAGATTCATTTCTTATGCTTGTCAACTCTTACATTAGGTGTTTTCTTAAACAGAAATCCCAGAAGTCTTTCCACCAAGATAAAAATGTCTCTAAGAATAGTCTGTACTATGAGCTTGCAATTAAGTATTTATCTACTCCCACACAGCTAATGTATAATTAAGAGCATTATGTTAATTAGCAATTATAAAATGCTAAAATCTAATGTTCATTTTCACATTTATTATAGGATAACATTTCCACAATTTTGTATCTATATAGCTCATAGTTTTAGGAAAATGTACCAGGTACAACAGCAAAAGTTATTTTTATGTTACTGTAGAATGTGACACCTCAGATATAGAATGCTACCGTTATGAACACTCGTGAGGCTAGGTGACTTTCTAGCCTATTAGGGAATCTTGACACTTGGGATGTTCGCGGTGTCCTCATTCCTCAAATTAACTGCATTATCGAGAGAGCCATTGAACAGTTCTTCCACAGAGCAACATCCTTACAAGACGTGCTGTAGGATACTTATTAGCTTCCCAACAAACAGCCAAATTATCGCACAGGCACTAACAGGCAGTTCTTAACACAAAATTTAAAAAGATTAATTGAAATAACAAAAGTTACAGATGTTTGTGATGTGTACCACTAGTGTAAATAATTGCCCAGATAAGACTAGAAGGAATTTAAAAAAATACAAATGGTTTGTCTTTTCTGTTTCTATCATAATACATGTCTAGTTCTTATTTCTTCCATTATGGCCCTGTAAAACTGAATTATAATCTAAAACTAAATTAAAAGTTAAATAAAAGCAAGGTAAGTAAGAGCAGGTTAGACAAACACCTGTCAGGGATGGCCTAGAGCTGGTGCTTGGTCCTGCCATGTGTGCAGGGGGCCTGACTTGATGTCCTCTCAAGGTTCCTTTCAGTTCTATGAGGGAACATTAGGAGTTTATGTATCTCACTCTCCATTTTGAATTAAGACAAACAACCACCTTATTTATATTTAAGTGCCTCTTAAAATTTCAAAAAGCCCTATTTCCATGAGAAGTCAGTAACAAGTTGCAATGGGGGAGGTCTAGGTTGCATGTTAGGAAAAACTATTTTCCTAGGAGAGTGGTGAAGCACTGGAATGGGTTACCTAGGGAGGTGGTGGAATCTCCATCCCTAGAGGTTTTTAAGTCCCAGCTTGACTAAGCGCTGGCTGGGATGAGTTAGTTGGGGCTGGCCCTGCTTTGAGCAGGGAACTGGACTCAGTGACTCCCTGAGGTCTCTTCCAGCCCTAAGATTCTATGATTTTAACACAATTTAAATTAAAAACAAACCTAACATGTAGGCAGTCAACATAATTAATAACGTATTACTGCAGCATCTGGATAATGAACTAATGTTATACATTATATATATAAAAATGGACAACTTCTACAAAAAAAATCAGAAAAGAGCTGCACCTCCATAATCAGCTTCTGAATCCTTGTTCTCCGATGGAGTACAATGCTGATGTTTCCTTTACTGAATCAGATCTCACAGCTTAGTAGTTTGCATCCGAAATTCTCAAAGAAGTCAACTGGTGTTTTCGGTGTGCAGAGAATGTACAATCAAAGCCTCAAAGTTGTATTTCCACTTTCATTCTACAATCTCCTTTTTTCATTGGTTTAATATTTGAGTTTCACATTATAGGCTCTAGGTCTAACTTGGTCTACTCTATACACTCAGTCTAGGAACAGTCAGTTATACCTCAGTTTGAACTCTCAAATAATTAACTAGCATTTTTAAAAAAAGTTATAAAGTCTGTAAAAAGAAGATATAAAGCAGACATGACCGCCCTAGACATCTGTCGATAGATTTCCCCTTTCAGAACAGTATAAGTGCACATCCTGAAAATTTTTAAAAAGTGGCATATAGTAATCTAGTACAGTTCTTGTAAAAAGGCATAATCTCATAGCAACCTGAAAAAACAGTTCAGAGATGTATGTAATTATCTACCTACCTAAATGTGGAAACAGATCAGTCTCCAGCTGCTTTTTTCGAGTGCACAGTTTCACCAGTCTCTGTAGCCGGCTCATGCAGGATGAGTGTGGAGAGAAGGCTGTGGCTTTCATAAGGACCCGATCAGCCCTTTGCGGGTCCATGACAGGAGCCCTAGTGGGTGGCAGGAGAGGCAGGGGTCTCTTGTTAGACATCTGCCTTGCTTGTGCTATAGTGTGTGTGGTGGGCGCCACTCCCTGCATTGGTAGGCTGGTGTTCTGAGGTTGAGGTGACTTGCAGACTACGCCCTGCGGTAGCGCTGGAGGCTTTAAAGAAGTTGATAAAGGTGGCAGATGGGAGTGCTGCTGCTGCTGCAGTGGCTGCTGCTGCAAAGGTGCAGGAAGGGGGCTAAAGTGCTCTTGGTGAACTTTTAAAATCTCTGTTTCTCTCTGGCGTTGCCGATTTTGGGCCAATTTGCTCTGCAACTTTTTCCTCACTGTTGCCCCTTTCTTTAAGTCATCATCCTCCTCGTTGAAAGCAAAGGGATCGTCTAACTCTGCTTCCAGGTAGTGGAGAGGAAGCCTGGCCCCTGGTGGAGAGAGGGACATCCCATCCAGTCCATTGGACATCTTCAAAGACAGTGTGGGCACTGTCAGACTGAAGGCCATAGCATCCATCTGGTGCCTGACCTTCACTTCCTCTACTGGATCATTCTTTTTCTTCCTCTCCTTTTTAGGTATAAAGCCAAGCACCTGTAGGTGGCTGTTGCAGTACCTTCAAAAGTGAAAACAGTAAGTTCCTTTGTTTGTTCTTTTTAAACAAACACTCTTAAGAAAGCAAAAAAGATGAAACCACAGATAGGAAACCCCAACAACAACAAAAGCCATCTGACTACCACTGAAAAAATTAGATTATTAATTCATGTTTGCGTACTAATGAGATCCTACAATCATTTCCCATGATCCAGGCCCATAAAATAAAAATAAAATAACTTCCACATAAGAGAAAGTATCATTTTTGGATTTTAAAAAAAATGATGTTATTCATATAAAAGCCAAACAGCTATCCTTCCAAAAAATCTATTCCTCATGTCCTTTATCGATATCAAGGGCAAGCTGAATTAGACAAATTGCTCTGTGAAGAGGGAGAAACAATAACTTGGAAATGGCAGAGGTGCTTAATGACTTCTTTGTTTTGGTTTTCACCAAGAAGTTTGATTGTGACAGGATGCCTAACATAGTGAATGCTAGTGAAAATGGGATAGGTTTAGAAGATAAAATAAAAAAAGAACTAGTTAAAAATTACTTAAACAAGTTAGATGTCTTCAAGTTACCAGGGCCTAATGAAATACATCCTACAATACTCAAGGAGCTGATAAAGGAGCTATCATCTTTGAAAAATCATGGACGTCGGGAGAGATTCCAGAAGACTGGAAAAGGACAAATATAGTGCCCATCTATAAAAAGGAAAATAAGATGCCAGGGAAGAGAATGGAGCAAGTAATTAAGGAATTCATCTGGAAAAAATTGGAAGAAAATAAGGTGATAGATAAGAACCAGCATGGATTTATAAAGAACAAATCACGTTAAACCAATCTGATAGCCTTCTTTGATAGGATATCAAGCCTTGTGGATAAGGGAGAAGCAGTGGACGTGGTATACTTAGACTTTAGTAAGGCATTTGACACAAGTCTTGCATGACCTTCTTATCATGACCATTGGAGAAGGTCCACAGAAAAGCAACAAAAATGATTAAAGGCCTTGAAAACATGACCTATGAGGAAAAACTGAAAGAATTGGGTTTGTTTAGTTTAGAAAAGAGAAGACTGAGAGGGGACATGATAGCGGTTTTCAAGTATCTAAAAGGGTGTCACAAGGAGGAGGGAGAAAAAATTTTCTCCTTGGCCTCTGATGATAGGAAAAGAAGCAATGGGCTTAAATTGCAGCAAGGGAGGTTTAGGTTGGAGATTAGGAAAAACACTGGAATAAGTTGCCTAGGGAGGTGATAGAATCTCCATCACTGGAGATATTTAAGAGCAGGTTGGATGGACATCTAACAGGGATGATCTAGACCAGGGGTGGGCAATAATTTTTGATTGGAGGGGCACTCCAAGATTTTGGAAAGTGGTTGAAGGCTGCACTTTTCCATAACATTAATGGAGGAGATGCAGGGGATGGAGGTTTGGTGCAGCGCTTGGGGGAAGGGATTGGGGTGCAGGAGGGAGACTGGAGTCTGGGAGGGAGTTTGGGTGAAGGAGGCAGTTGTGATCTAAGACAGGGGACTGGAGTGCAGGGGTTTGGCATGTGATCTAGGGTGGAAGGGGATTGTGATCTGGGGCAGGCGATTGGGGTGACAGATCTGGGAGGGGGTATGGGTACAAGAGGGGAACAGAGGTTTTGGGTATGTTGAATGGGGGAGCAGAGCGTTTGGGCAGGGAAGGTGTGGGGTGCCAGAGGCAGGTTGTGGCCAGGAGACTTACCAGCCAGCAGCCAAACCAGGCTGCCTGCCTGCTGAGCGAAGGCTTGCAGAGCTTAAAATGTTTCTCAGCCAGCCTGCTTGCCCAGCCATATGCTTCAGTGAATAACTGAGTTGAGGAGAGGGGGTATAGTTCTCCTTGGCTGCCTATTATTCAAACAAGTAGCTCCCACTGGCTGGTTTCTGGCTTAGGGTGGCTCCTAAAGCATCTCCCCTCCAGTTCTGAAACAGAAACAGAGCCCGGCAGTTGCGTTTCTGCATGGTGCACGGGGCTGCAGAGCAAGCAGGGGAGCCTGTCTAGGGCTCCCTGCTGCCTGTGTGAGCCAGATCTGGTGGCTTCGTGAGCCAGTTCTGGCCGATGGGCTATATTTCGCCCAGGCCTGATCTAGATAGTGCTTGGTCCTGCCGTGAGGGCAGGGGACTGGACTCGATGACCTCTTGAGGTCCCTTCCAGTTCTAGTGTTCTATGATTCTATAGTTCTATCATAAGAACATAAGAATAGCCATACTGGGCCAGACCAAAGGTACATATAGCCCAGTATTCTGACCTCTGACAGTGGTCAATGTCAGGTGCCCCAGAAGGAATGAACAGAACAGGTAATCATCAAGTAATCCATCTCTTGTCACCCATTCCCGGCTTCTGACAAACAGAAGCTAGGGAACACCGTCCCTACCCATCATGGCTAATACCCATTTATGGCTCTATCATCCCATCCTAGATCTTTTTTGAACTCTGTTAAAGTCCTGGCCTTCACAACATCCTCTGGCAAAAAGTTCCACAGGTTGACTGTGCATTGGAAGTATTTTTTCACACTTTTGTTTGTTTTAAACCTGTTACCTATTAATTTCATTTAGTGACCCCTAGTTTGTGTGTTATGGGATGATTTTACAGACCTCTATCATATCCCCCTTTAATCATCTCTTTTTCAAACAGAAAAATCACAGTGTTAAAATATGACACGTTGGAATATAAACTGAAGGGCCTTGCAATAAGAAAGTTATTAAGGGACAATCAAATGGAACCATTTTAAGGCATCCCACATTTAAAAGTTTAACAGAGACTACTTGCTATCAGGCTGTTCTTTCATTGTGAGTGAATTTGCATGGATTTTGTGCAGTATACATTACAAAGATAGAGTTAATACATGTCTGTGATTGGGAGACAAATTACAAGAGGATTTATTCAAGGAAAGTCTTGAATTGAAGATATTTTCTGAGAAGAACCACTGTCTGTGTTTTATGATTAAGCAACTAAATAAATGTCTTTAAATGTATAAGTTATTTTACATGGTTAAGTATTATAAAGAGCAACTAAGTCAGATAAAAAAACTATATTAATATAGGCAAACAAGTTCTATCCTGTCATCACTGTGAATTGCTTATATAATGCAATGAAAACATACACGTTATAACACAGATATGGATTTCAAGTGGCTATAAAATCAACTCTTTTCTAGTTTTTACTTTTAAATCACCAACAGTCTAGTCTGTCTCAGATGTATTTACACAAAGGACTAGATTAATGATGATCTACAGCAACAGATGACATACTAGATTAAGGAGCTAACAGATAAACAATTATTTCTAGGCTGTTTAGATAGTTGCTATTTTCCATTCATCAAGTCTGATTTCTCTGCACCTGTGTAGATTCTCTGATGTCAATGGTCAAATTACAGGGTTGGAGATTATAATTCTTTTATTTAGAAAGAAAGATTCAAGGAATGAAACTAAAAATTACAGGCTTGAAAGTCTAACATCTATATTAAAAGCTGGAGATATCTATTGATAGTTTATGGACATATTTGGGGAGATATTATTTAACTATGAATCAATATGCATTTTAAAATGAAATTATTTTTTGTCTACATGGAAAGGAATCAATTGATTTAATACCTGGATTTTCAAAACCTCTTAATAACATTTTAGATTTGCCTAAATGTGCTAAGAGATTACAAAAGGTAATGATTTAATAAGTGGCAAGCAGAGGGCTGATACTTAGTATGTGCAATCTTTGTGGAAAAGTGTGGAAGGAGATTTCTGTAGAAGACATACTGTGAAGTACGTTTTTAAAAACTGACTGCTGTTCTAGATAAAAGTTATTCAGGATGTAACAACAGCTTCCATTGAAGTCAATGGAAATACTCACAAGCATAATGTTAAGAAATTGAGTATTTTTAACTAATATAGGTGTCAGTTTAGCAAGAGACACTGTCATGATGATAAGAAATGGAAGTAAAAACAAGCACAATGGAAATGTCATGGGGGTTTTTTGGAGGGGGGAGAAGGGGGAGTTATTTCAATGAAAATAATTGTGTTTGTCTTAAAACATTTCTCTATAGTGTTTATACCCCAATAAATGCAGCCCTGTGCTTGGAAGAGCCAGAAGGTGAAACTGACTTACCTATTTTCATTGCGCACATCAAAGAAACACAAAACAAAAGTAAGAAAGGAGGATAGGAAGTTAAACTGTAGAAATTGTCAGTTTCAGGCTACAAAAAGATTTTAATTTGCTGTTATCTCTTTAACATGACAGAGGAAAAGGTTTGGATCTTTTAAACTCTTAGCTGATAGTGCAGCAGGATTCAAGATTAATACTTTACGTATTTTACTTAATGTCAAATGTGATAATTTCCCCCTCCCAACTCCAAAAATCAGTAATAAAAACACCTGTCACTCTGGCGTATGCACGGTGAATTGTGATCAACACATACTGTAAAGGAGTGCGACTGCTGCCTAATAGAGCTAGCAATCAAATATGGAGTGTACAAAGGTTGTTAAGCTCCACTGGCTTCCAGCAGAACAATCATTTCAAGGGTGAAAAGATTGGGGGAGCCATTTTTTCACCTGATGTATAACACGTTCTGCTTTCTAGTGTATGCAAGACCTTGGAGAAATCCTGAATTCTAATTATCTTAATTAAAGAAATATCTAGTTAAGCTGAGAAGTATCATGTATGTTAAGAAAGATGATAATATGGAAAGCGGGTGTTTACAAATCAGAAGAGATTAACAAATGTGAATTTGTTTCATTTTGAAAGAAGACGAGTAAGAGGTGAAATGATGAGTGTTTAATCTATGTAAAGTGTAATGGCAAGATAATTAAAATAATAAAATTAAGCTTCATTATCTATTTGCAATACTTGGTCAAATCAGAATTAGGGGACATAAATTCGATGTTAAGAGGGAACATGTAATTTTACAGAGAGGCTTGAACAGGCAGAATAGACATCTAATTAAAGTGATGAAATCATGCACTAACAACAGATTTAATCTGAAAAAACTGAATAGTTAATAATGAATTTAATAAGTAATATTAATTATTTTTTGCTTGAGGGCTAGAAAATAGTTTTATTTACAGTCTTTTGATCAGAGCTGAGGCTTTTTGCAAGAGAATACTTTTGCCGTCCTTTGCTGTAAAGTTTTGTTATAAGCTTGCAAATCATATAGCATGGAGATGAACGTTATCGGTGTTCTAGGTCTCACTTCTGAGTCTCAAATTATGTAACAAACTGTGTAATGAAAATGCATGGTCAGATGTCAGATGAAATAAAAAGTCTTGGAACAGAAAATTAAAGTTGCAAGCAAGGATGAAGAAATGGCAAACATTTCTATATTGAACTAAGTGTGAAAAGTAAATCTCCTAAGATATAGGTATATCCATATCAGCTAAGAACTATCATTTTATGCCTGCTCTAAACTTATTATTGGAAATTCATGAAATCCTACTGCTAAACTGAAAACTCTGTTCTGAGAGGAAGTCTTTGAAAATATCCATCCCAACATCTCTCATTTGAGATTAAAGTTTTATTTCTTCTTCGCACACCTGTGATCCTCAACTTTCAAATACTTGTCATGCAGTATAATTATTCTAATAGTTCAGAAGTTATTACCAGTGAGTGTACTGTACACAGTTTGATATGTTTTATTTTACACAAAGAATAATAATATCAAATTACTTAGGGACATATGGGAATCTTCACTAAGTTTTGGAGGTTTCATAAAAAATATGAGTAGAAGGAGAACAGAGACTTTGGCCCGCTTTGCATCTGAAATGACAATATATCATTTGATTTGACAAGTCCCATGATTTTTTTGGGGGGGAAGGGGAGTTAGCTTATTTCTAGACCAGAGTGGGAAAGAGGTGGCTAACGGGCTGGATTCAACTTGCAAGCCACCGGATTCAGCCCACAGCCACCTCACTGGCACCCTTACTACCAAGCAGCTGCAACCACTTTAAACAGCAGGCTGTTAATTGCTTTGCAAGCTGGACAGGAAAGAGAAAGCTTTGTGTGCTGACCCAGACATCTAGCAAAATCACCAAGCTCCCATTGGCCAGTTTCTGGCTAATAGGAGCTGAAAAATTATGCTGAACGTACAGGCAGACAATGGGGCAGCCAATGAAGCATCCTCACTCCCTCTCTCCTTCCCTATGCTGGAGCAGAGCCACATGGAGCTATCCACATAGCATATAGGCACAGAGCCTGCAGAGCTGCTGACTGGGAGCCCCCTAGGTAAGCACCTCCCAGCCAGAGCCTGCCTCTGGCACCCCACCCGTTTACCCCCCCTCCCAAATACGTGCCCCAGGCCCACCCAAATCCTCTGTATTCCCTCTCTCCACCTCCTCCAGGTCACAACTCCCTCCCAGACGGTGCATCCTCTTCTATAGCCCTTCCCCAATCCACAGTCCCTCCTGGATCCTGCACTCCAAGCCCATGCCCCAGATCATAACCTCCTCCTTCAGCCAAACTTCCTCTCAAACCCCACAATCCCTCCTGCACCCCAGTCCTCTATCCCAAGCTCCCTTCTACACTCCACGCACTGTCCCAGACCCCGTATCCCCTCCGCAGAAGTGTTACCCTTGACCACTTGCCAAAATCTTGGCGCGCCCCCCCCCATTAAAAATTATTGTCCACCCCTGCTCTAGTCTCTGTTTGATACGAACAGAGGAATGGACAATGATTGCCAAATTTGAAATTACTCAAATTGTGCCACCTGAGCACTTGCCTTGGTTTTTGATAAACATTCTTCTCACTTCAGTCTCCTTAACTGAAACGGCAGGTGAAGTGCAAGCTAATTTGGAGCACAATCCAACTGTTGTTTCCGAGAAGAGAGGACGCTGTGGCCCAAGAAGGAAGTTATATGTAGGGCACAGTGGGAACACTATTAGTAAGTTGAAAGGTTAGCGAATGGCTGCTGGTAACATGAAAGGTCAGTGAATAGCAGTCCATTTCTTTTTGGCAAACTTTGTTTAGTTTTTAGGGTAAAAATAATGATTTCCATGGAACAAATCCCAATCTGAGATATTTAATACACATTTTATTTCAATGATGAAATAACATCTAGTGGTGATAAGTGTGATACCGGCTCTTCTGAAATCTAACATCATGGGCACCACGAAGCCAAAATTAGAAGTCAGCCACACTTCTGACCACTACTTGGATGCTAATCAGAAGCCACATAAGGAAATTAAAAGTCAAATTCTGGCCTTACTTACACACTGTGGAACTCCAATTATGTCAATATTCAAACCAGTCTTAGGGTGTGTCTAAACTACATGGCTCCATGGATGGAGCCATGTAGATTAGGCTGATCGGCAAAGGAAAATGAAGCCGCGATTTAAATAATCGCGGCTTCATTTAAATTGAAATGGCTGCCGTGCTGAGCCGACCAACAGCTGATCAGCTGTTAGTCGGCTCAGCGCGCTAGTCTGGACGCTCCTGCGCCGACCTGAAAACCCTTTATCGACCTCCCCGTTATGCCTCGTAGGATGAGGTTTACCAGGGAGGTCAATAAAGGGCTTTCATGTCGGCGTGGGAGCGTCCAGACTAGCGCGCTGAGCCGACTAACAGCTGATCAGCTGTTGGTCGGCTCAGCACGGCAGCCATTTCAATTTAAATGAAGCCGCGATTATTTAAATCGCGGCTTCATTTCCCTTTGCCGAACAAACAAATCTACATGGCTCCGTCGACGGAACCATGTAGTTTAGACGTACCCTTAAAGTCTGAGGAAGAATGGTCTTGAGGCTCAGGGACCAGACTGTGATTTGAGAAGTCTGATTCCAATTCCTGACTGTGCCACAGGCTTCCTGCGTAACCTTGGGTAGGTCATTTAATTCTGTGCCTCAATCCTCCCATTGTGAGAAGGCTAACACTTCCCTGCCACACAAAGATGCTATGAAGATATATTTATTAAAGTGTATGAGGCACTCAAATAATATAGTGATAGGGGCCATATGACTACCTAAAGTGAGGGAGCCCTGAACTTTGTCCTGAACACCCAAAACTCCAACTAGGAGCCTATGCACTCTTGAAACTCCGCAACTATACATTTTGCCAACTCCACCAACCTACATGTCCAGTAATAATTTTCCTCAAGCAATTTAATTGCTTTTTAAGAGCATCAATTCTCATATATGATCAGTAGCTCAACAAATGAAATGGAAAAGTAAGTATAACATAAGACTTTGATCAGCAGAGGTCAAAATGAAATTTGGGGAAAGGCAATAACCTCGCTTGAAAATAGACTTTGCTTTTCCTTATCCCCTCCCCAATTCCCCACAAATAACAAAAATCATATTCATTTTTTTTAAAGGGACTTACAGAAACACACTGGTACTCCATCTATCTGACCACTTTCTCCTAACTGTGATGACAGTTCTCAAGCAGTTAGACCAAATTTGTAGCTAAGCTGGCTGACGCTATTTCCAATTCACTGAGGGCCTTCAGCACTCACCTACGGTCTTCAGATTTGGGGATAGGGTTGGTGCACCGTTGGCTGTTATACTTGGCCACATATTCACATTGCTTGAAGGGGGCAGTCTTGTCCTCCAGAACGTGTCTGATACAGAAGGCGTAGCCGTTAAGTCGCCTCTGCTTGCACAGTTTGGGGCTATATGAGCACAAGGGCTTATTGTCAACCTCAGAGAAGTGTATGTGTTTGCCTTCATACATCACGTGACTCTATTCCTTGTGAACATCAGCTGAAAGAACCAAAAATATTTAGATAAATTATAATGGAGAAAGATGCAGTAAGTATTGCATTTTGTTTTTTGATTTTGGGGTTGGGTTTTTTTGTTGAGGGGAGGGGCATGCAACAGTACCTGATTTTAAATCTTCTGTACCATATCAATGTTAGGAGAGGGCCCAAGGAAACCACTATCCTGGAATGATGATGAGTCAGATGAAGCAGATTGTCTAAGAAAAAGATCAAAAAAGTCTAAGTCAGTCAAAATTAAAGCAGACAGGACCATTCTGCATAGTAAGTGAAGTGTTGGATGTTGCTTCACAGCTCTTGGCTCAGCCAATGCCCAACAAAATGGATTAATTAGACAGTCCACACTCAATTATTAACTGGAATGTAAATATATCACTATTCCAAAGTTTTACACTAGCAGTTAGTGGAATACTTTGCTCAGGATAACCATGAGGAATCCACCTTTTGAAGACAGTAGCCCTGATATGTTAGAATGTAATGTTAGTACTCATGCAGCACAGAAAGTTTTTATTGTAGATGCCTGGCTCACAGCTGATGTACAATTTTCAGAACCGCTAGTCCCCAGAGAGTCTGCACGAATCAGCCTTTTCCAAGACCAGCAGGACTCTGCAGATTTTTCTTACTTTGTCCTACTTATTGAGTGAACTACTGAATCTATGGAAGTCCACAGCAGAACCCCCATTTGATTTCAGGAAAAACAGGATTACATCCATTAGTTATAGCAGAGAGTCACTTTTTAAATGCAGAGAGAGAAATCTGTGTTATCACATGCCACCCCTATCATTTCTGACTCCCCACCACTCTGGAGTTTTCAGCAACCACTTCTTTCTTTTCCAGAGCAGCTTTCAGGTAGGTTCAGCTCTACAAATGTGATGCAGCTGCTTTGCTGATGCCCAGTTTACGTTGTGCAAAACTGTTTGTAATGATCAAGTTTAACTATTAACTAAACAAGCAATCTTGAGGAATTGAAACTGTCTTGAACTTGATGTGCTCCATTTTTCAATTATTACGTTTTTCACACCATGCACACAGAGGTGCTGTTCACGTACTAAGTTGATTTGTTACGTTTGTGTAATTTAACACATATCTAGGACAAGTTAACCTACCCTCTCCCCCACTAATCCTTCTTCCTGGGAAATATTTTAATATTGCAAACCACTATGGAGCTTCAAAGTCTGTCAAAATTTTTCCCTTTCCACCCAAAACACTGAATTCCTATCCAAAGCCACAACAGCTTTTCTATAAATGAAAATATCAGAACTTAAAAGACAATTGTCTGCTGGCCCCACACAAATAGAAAGGGAGCTTTTGTACCTTGGAAAGGGGAGCTTCCCACTATGATCGAACGATCACTTTCAGCCTGATAACTCCCTGAGAAAATTATTTTAGTGCTGTGACATTTTTAGGTACAGAAAAGCTGTTTTTAGTCATTTTTGTTAGCATTATTTAAAATGTCTCTCATGTCAAGCACTCCATAGTGGGACTCAGGGTAACAAAAGCATGTGGATTTACAAGTAGAGAGATAGAAGAAACAGTTCCAGTCAAGAAATTCTACAAAACATTCCAGACATACGCTGACAAATCACACACATGACATATGCTGCTAAATACATGAGGCAGCAATGTGCTGTAAAGTGTTTTTTGATATGTAGCTGCCCCCAAACTTCACTCGTTTATGAATAACGAGGACCATTCCAAAACGTTTATACCAAACCACTCTCCATGCACACACATGCTCAATGTTAGTACTTCATTTGCTGCAGAACAATGAAGCACAAATATGGGTCAATATATTATCAAACGACAAATTAATCCCAATAATTATTTATACTATTCAAGCCAATATCATTCACATTAATTAATTTATCTGAACGCACCAAGGGAGCTTGTTCAATAGAAATTTAAAATCAGTCACAAGAATATATCCCTTCGGAATGGATTGGAGACCTATTGTTTCCCTGTAATTCCCGGTCTGTCTGTATCCATCTGTTGTCTCTTGCCATAGTTAGATTGTTAACTTTTTGGGCAGGGACCATCTTTCCATCCTATGTTTCTACAGAGCCTAGCAAAGTGGGGGACTGGTCCATGAATAGAGAGTGCGGGCCTGGTCGGTTGGGTGGCGAGGAATCCTCAAGCCCCATAGCAGAGTTGGGTAATAGGAGAACCTTATCCATAGAAGGGGGCCTGGCAGGCAACATGCAGAGCCTTGCATCCATCCAGTCAGTGTCGTGCTGGTGTGACTGTTACCAGTGTTCATTCTGCACTGCCCTGTCCGCATTCGCTGCCCCCAGTGGGAACTGTGAGGATCGCGCCCCTTCTCGCTCTGCCCCTGCCTTTCCATGTTGTGGAAAACAGCCCCATTCTCACCACTTCCTGTGTTCCCGGCACAACCAAACCCTGACCTTGCTTTAAGTTAGGGTAAGAGGTAGGGATGTTAAATTTTGATTAACTAATTGAATAGTTGATGGTATTTCCATCGACTATTCAATTAGTCAATACGAACTTCTGTGTTCTGCCTTTGAAAAGTACAAGAGCCCCAGCGGAGACACCTGTACATTTCAAAGTTGGCTGCCGCTGCGCCACTGCCCCCTCCCACGGAGCTGGGGAAACCGGCTTTTCAGGCGGCTCCCTGCACCATCCCCGCCTCCTCCCTCCCTTGCTGCCTCTTGGCTTAGTGGATAGTCGACTAGTCGCTTACATCCCTAGTAAAAGGACATTGCCTACCAAGTTTGGTGGTCCTAACTTATTTTTTAGGAAGAGATCTTGCAGGGACAGACATTTTATTTCTGATAGAGAGATAGATAGATAAAGTTTGGTAGTGCATTTGTGCAAATAATTACAGATTTAGGTACCTAAATAAGGTAGCTTGAATTTCGTAGGTATAGACCGACCACCGGTAGCAACCATAGCCATGTCTGGAAACTGGGCGAGTCATAAAGAAATTAAATTATATTTTTTATACATTTTCTGTAACAAAAACGTAGATGAAAGTATTTTTTCTTTATTTGTATTCAAGTTGTTAAACGTTTTATATGCTACCAACTTCATCCTCCTACTGCCCACCAAAAACCATTCTATTGCACATACTAAGATGCAAAGATGGCCGACACTGGGACTTATTCCCCGCTGCCTTAGATCTTGTGTAGTCATTTACCTGTGTACAATCAATGTAAATACTACAAAATTAGCAGCATTTTATGCCTTCTTTGCACTGGCATATGTGACTGGACAAGGAGCATGGCAGTGAGGAATCAGGCGCAATGTTTCAGTAAACTGATCTCACTAAAGCGGATTCATCAAGGGAAAGTTCTTTCTATAAAACACACTTAAGTAGCCTTATGAGGAAGCCCTTGCCAGCTGTCAGACATTAGCATTCCCTTTTGAAAATATGGTTTGGAAAGTTATCACAGTCAAAAATCACACTATTCGGGATCTTATAAAAGGGGTTTTATTGTAACTGTGTAGCAATTAACATTTCTAGTGATTATACAGTTATACTCTGGCTCCATGGGAGCGGGACCAGCAGCCAGTGTATTCCCAGCCAGTGTATTCTAATACAGAGGCGCCAGAAGCAACAGTATGGGGTGGCAGTAAGCTCCCCGGGAGTCAGTGCATGTTCGGAACCAGCTTTTAAACCAGCTCCACATGCATACTGGCTCCCACCTGCTGCCCCGCTGCCAGGCAGCCGGCTCCTCAGGAGTCTGATGGGAGCCGGCATGTAACAGTTTGGGTAACCAATAAGCTCATGCTTATGGGTGACTTGTTTAAACAGTTGCACTTGCATCCCTACCATTGAGTGTTTTTATATATATGTAAACTAGAAGACTTACTTGACAGTGCCTGGGTCTGGGGCACGCAGGCGGTGCTCTGGGGGTGGGGGAAGGAACAGTGAGGCTCTACCCCTCCTCCCCCGTCTGGCACTGGGGCCAAGAGCTTGGAGTAGGGGGGGCACTTACCTGGGCTGATGGCCAGCAAAATGGCAAGCCATGTCCCTAGCTGGCCACTCCCTTCCTGGTGTGACTGTCCCCAGTGCTCACCCCAGTGGTATAGCTGTTCCCCATGCTTGCTGCTCCCAGCGGTCACTGTGCTATATCGCATCCCTCTGAAAAGCCCCCTCCCTTTCAGCCCCCTCCCTTTCCATGTTCTGGAAAACAATCGAATTCCAGGCACGTTTTCCTGGCACAACCAAACCTTGACCTTGTTTTAAGTTAGGACAAGAGGAAGCAGCATACCAAATTTGGTGGTCCTAGTTGTTACCGTTTAGGAGGAGTTCTTGAACCAATGGACTCAGACAGACAGATGCACAAATCTCTAAATTATATATGTAGATATCACTGAAATGGTACCAAAATGAGAATCATTCTCTGCAACATTCAAAAACCTGTTATCCATTCTCACCATTTAATTTCAAGGAACTGATTTTTATAAAAAATGTCTTAAATCCAGAGAATGCATTCTGTCATATAAAGTATTTTATTCATTGCCAGGCTATGTTCTTCCCCCCTTCTCAATGATGAGTATTTGTAGAACAAAAACAGAGATGATAAACCTGACAATTGTATTAAAAAATAAACACATTTTAAAAGTAGTAAAGCTTTATGCAGATCTTTAGGAATAAGAGCTTCTCTGATACAGATTAGTAAGTCCTGTTCATTCACCTGTTTCACCAGCTGTGTATATCAGACTTTTTTCCAAAAAGTTTATTTCTACTATTGTTACAAAGAACACCAAAAGTCACTAGAACAGAAAGCAGCTGAGAGCTGCAAGAGACGGGGGAAGAGGGTAATTGTGAAAGTCTCTCATATAGCACAATGGCAAAGTATTTTTTTAATAGGGAAATTTGACTAAAACCATAAAAATTACCATGGGACCCTCTCAACACAAATTTAGCTCATTTAACTGACAAGACAACAAGTCTATCATCTCCCTTTCAATGGAATTACTTCAGATTTACACAAGTGTAAGTGAGCTCAGAATAAGAACTTGTGTCTACAACAAGCCAGAAGTCTGTTTTTTAGTTATTCCCTCTATAAATGTTAGTAGAACACTGTGTTCTGCCCTCACGTATAGCATGCAAAACTAATGGAGTCAATAAGGTTTCAAGTGTATAACACAGAGATTGGAATTTGGGCTGATAGGTCAACTTTGTCTTCCTTTCAGAGAGGATCATTTTTTATTTACACACACACACGCACAGTCA